TCCGGTTCTGCTCCAAGTCCATCCCCACCATCAGGGGCCCTGGTGAAAACGCAGACCGGGACTTAGACCCCACGCTCCGGTGATTCCGCCTAGTGGGCTCCAGAGGTGCCACCTGGCGGATCCGTAACACCTATATTTACCAATTTGGACAACTTGTTCCTTTGAAGCCTTTGAGGCTATTAAACAAGGCCTGTTTTATGTTATTGAAACATGTGAGTGTCCTTATTCTATTCTAATCGATTTTATATGGTATTTTGAGTGGCAGTATTACACTATGTAGCCTTTCTTTCCTTGCACACTATTGAGGATTCCATGGGAGAAGTAGAGTGGAGTCGATTGCTGTATCTAAGCAGGGTGAAGGCGATTTGAGTTCCTCCTGAGGGGCTATAGGATCCCTTATATCCTATGAGGCTTATTACTCACCTCCATCTGGTGAGTGCGGTCAATATTATTTTTCACGTGGTGATTAGGTGGAAGCACATTTTGGAACATTGTTACACACAGAGCTTTGTTTTGGTGGTATTTAAAAGGAAGGAAATATAGAAGGAAATGACAGGAGGACGTCATATCATGTCTTCCCACTCTTCTGCGCATGTGTGCCCCCAGGGGAGTGCGTGCGATCGGTGATGCGCTGTGTCCCCGGGAAACAGCGGGTCACCGATCAGAGGAAAGAGATGATGAGGTCGACTCTGTCATGTGATCAGCTGTGTCCAATCACAATTGATCACATGTAAACAAGGAAATGCCGGTTATCGGCATTCCTCTCCTCACACTGACAGCGCGTGAGGAGAAGAGAGCCGGTAAGGGCATTCCTCAGAGGGGACATGCACACTGATCATCAGGGCACTGATGATCAGTGTAGCCCCATCAGTGCCACCTGTCAGTGCCCATCAATGCCACCTGTGCGCCTACCAATGCACATCAATGCCACATATCAGTGCCCATCTGAGCTGCCTTTCAGTGCAGCATCAGTATCAGTGCCATATATGAGTGCTGCCTTTCAGTGCTCATCATATATGCCTGTCAATGCCCATCAGTGATGCCTATCAATGTATCAGTGCCTCCTTATCAGTGCCCGTCAGTGACGCTTATCAGTGCAGCCTCATTAGCGCACATCAGTGAAGGAGAAAAAAAATTACTTATTTACAAAATTTTCTAACAGAAACTAAAAAAAAAAAAATATTTTTCAAGATTTTCAGTCTTTTTTTAGTGTGTTAAGCAAAAAAAAAAAAACCCCGTGGTGATTAAATACCATCAAAAGAAAGCTCTGTCTAAAAAAAAAATAACATAAATTTCATATGAGTACAGTGTTGCATGACCACCGCAATTGTCATTCAAATGCTATGAAATCAGCGATGCAAAACGCACTGATATGCGGCTCTGGAATGGCACTGAAGTAGTGTGATTTCAGTGCCGCACCAGTGTCAACCGAGGGCACTGGATGCTTGTGCAGGGTGACACAATTTGGACATTATTATAAAGCAGAATTCTGGGTACAAATGATTTCTCCCCGTTCTGGGGCTGTTCAGTTGAGTATGAGCTTTTGCTCCCCCCGATAAAAAAAAAAAAAGCAGCAAAAAAACATTTGAAAAAGCGCAATTTTTTTCATGTAGTTTCTAGTATAAAAAACATTTTGGGGGGGTTAGAACCCTGGCAAGCTGCAGGGTTAATTTTTCTCTTCACAGTGCGTTGATGAGGTTACTGATGCGACAGGCTGGGCTGGGGTGTTAAGGAAACATTGGGGGGGGGCAAGTGATGGTGGAGCTCCAGATATGTCTGTCCCTGACCCCCCTGTAACGGAAGCATAGGCAGGACAGAGCACACGTTCTGAGAAGATGGGGAACACACAAAGCTTTATTGAAACAACAACTCAATGGGGAAATGGCAGGGAGGGTAATGTGAGTGCGCAAACCAGGGACGATTCCAGGCACGGGAGGGTCTTCTCTGGCCGGGTGGCTTGTGCGGTCCCCTTCTCCCCTTTGGACGCTTCAGCTGAGCTTCCTCCGTGACTGGACAGCGGATTGGAGACTCGTGGCAACATGGCGGGAAACTACCCCTGGGCAAGGGTCTCGGGGACTCAACGGGACTCCAGCTCTGATACTGGCCTAGCGCAGCTCCCACCCAGGATTTTGGTAGGGATATTGGGGTCACGGTGACTTAAAAGACTCCAGCTGTGGATGGCCTAATTGCAACCCCATTGCCAGCTCCCAATCTAGGGACATCGGGGTCACGGGGACTCAACAGAACTCCAGATGTGCAGTCTGGCCTAGCACCGCTCCCAAAAGCTTTCCATGGACATTTTTGGGTGCACAATTGCAGTTCAGGACACGGGTAGTCTGTGTGCGCAACAGGGACAGTTCGAGAGACGGGTAGTCTGTGCGGTGCAACAGGGACAGTTCGGACACGGGTAGTCTGTGCACGCGGACAGTGTGCAGGATCCCTCAGCAGCAGCTCCCAGGGCACTCAGCAGCAGACAGCCTCCAGGGACACGCAGCCACGGATATTGTGCAGGGTCCCTCAGCAGCAGCTCCCAGGGCACATCATTGCAGCAGACAGGGTGCAAGGGTGGCTCAGTAGTCAGGCTTACAGACTTCCAGGGTTCAGTGGGGTGTCAGCTGTGGGGTCTGAGCTTTGAGGATGAAGGCTCATGCAGAGCTGTGGACACTCCCCCCTGGGGTATTGAAAAGGGCTACAGTCCACCTTTTGGGGGTCTGCAGAGTGCGTAGGGGGGATGGCTGGGGGAGACTCGGTGAGCCCTCAAGCCTCCCTGCATCTTTATGGGAGCAAGATGATTCCAGCAGCATGGACAGGAACAAAGAGAGGAGGGCTGCTTCCTGTGTGAGTCTTTTGAAAACCATGTGGGAAAAGCCGAACTCTATGATGTGTATTGGAGCTGACTGGGAAGGGAGACATCTATGGCGGGAGGCGGTATTACCGCTACGGCACAATCACACCTAGTGACCTCTTGTGGCCGCTTTTATTAACCCTTAAACTCACCAAAAGACTGTCAAATTTCTGTCAAATCAATAAAATGATATCAAATTTATTTGGGTACAAGCGTCAATCAAAATAGGTAGGCCTGAAAAATGACAGCTGGTGTGAGGTGGCAGAGTGTGATTGGCTGATTGGCAGGAAGTCCGCTTAGCTCCGCCCCCAGGCTGCAGCTCACCTCAATGCTGCCCTGGTATCCGAGCCATAAGCAGCATCAGAGCTTGTCTCCTGCGACTGACAGAGATTATCGCCATTTATACGGATTTCGATTCCTATTATCACTACTATATAATTCTTTATATTATTAGTGGTAATATTTCATATTTTTAGCCATTTACAGGTCATCCAGCACCACCAGGATGCCTCGGCCTTCACGACGCCCATCTCGTGGGAGGCCTTCACATCAGGAGGACGGAGAGTCTCCGATCGCCCATCGGACTAGGTCCAGAGTCCAGCGTCATCGGAGACGGGAGGAGGCCTCCACCCACCGAAGCCGTTCACCAAGAGAACGAGCCGGGGCCCCTGAGCACTACCCACCTCCGGCCATGCAGCAGCATGCCAGGGCCCCTGAGAACCATCCTCCACTGGCCATGGAGCAGCACGACAGGGCCCCTGAGAACCACCCACCACCGGCCATGGAGCAGCGCGCCGAGGAGGAGGTAAGTGTGTGTCCCATTTGTTTGGCAGGTTGTGAAGATGGAGAGAACACGACCATCCTGGCCTGCGATCACGAGTTCCACACCAGCTGCTGCCGATGGTTTGGAGAGAACCCCACCTGTCCACTCTGCCGGGCTGATTTTTCCAACCAGCTATTTCTCCTTCGGAACTACGTACACGAAGTCGTCAATGGAGACATGTGGATTGGGTATGTAATTGGTGATGATGGTGCTATTTACGTTCAGTTTATTGCAGTCGGTAATTTGACCATCTTGCTTTAAAAGCCTGGATGACATCAGCTGTGTTGGAAATGTATATGACAACTGGTGTTGTGTATGTAATATTTTTTTTTTTTATATATATATTACTATTAGTATTATTATTATACATGTTTACCTGTTTAAACCATACTTGTAGTAGTTATAGGTTAATGCTTTGAAAAAAAAAAAAAAAAAAAAAATAAAAAAAAAAAAAAAAAAAAAAAAAAAAAATTTCTTCTTCTTTATTTACTCTTAGCCATTTTTGATGATTGTAATATAGTATTTAATGCTTTGAAAAAAAAAACAAAAAAAGTAAAAAAAAAAATTAGTATTATTATTATTATCCGTTTTATGATTGTAGGAGTTATAGTATTTAATACTTTGAAAAAAAAAAAAAAAAAAAAAAAAAAAAATGTATTATTATTAGCCGTTTTATGATTGTAGATGTTATAATATTTAATGCTTTGAAAAACATGGCGGATCTAGGGGGGTGCTGGGGTGGACTGCACCCCCATAGATTTCAGTGGTGCCCCCCCAGACTACTGAGCTCCTTCCCCCCCCATCCCCACACTCAGAGCCGGGACAAAGGAAAGGAAGCCTGGAGTTAAGTCCTGAAAGTGACAAGAGAGCAAGGAGTAGCGGTTCTGTGCTCTGCCCCCTCCTCCTGTCAGAACAGTGCTGCTCCATATAGCTGATGACACAGGATCGCTCCGTCCATCGGACTGTACACAGTTTCAATACCTGCCCCTATCTCTTCCAAGGACCGCTTATCTCCCACAGCAGTAAATGTAGATCGGGGCGGGTAATGAGACTGTGTACAGCCCCATGGTCAGAGCGATCCTGTGTCATCAGCTATATAGAGCAGTTCTGTTCTGACAGGAGGAGGGGGCAGAGCACAGCACCGCTCCTCTAGACTGTAATTTGGGGGGAGGGGGGGCTTACAGGCAAATTGTACATAATGAGGGGAGAGGTGTGGGGGAAACAGTCATTTCTGCTTGGGATGAGAAGGGGCTATCTGTGCTGGAAAGGGTAATGGCAGTTGCGGGGGGGGGCGGGGGGATTCTGTTAGAAGGATTTGGGGGGATTTAAGCCAGGAGGGGGCATGGGGGAAATGTTTGTGCCTATTTGTGCTAAGAGGAGGCGGGGGATTTGGGCTAAGTGGGGGCAGAGGATTTGGAAAAGGAGAGGATCTGTGCTGGGAAGGGTACTTTGGAAGGGGTTGTACTAGGAGTAGGAATTTAGAGGAATTTGACATAGGGAGGGTATTGGAAGATGGGGATTTGGGGGAGGGGGGATTTGTTCTAGAAGGAGGATGGGGGATATGTGCTAGGAGGGGGGATTAGCGGGGAGATTTGTGCTATAAGGGGGGATAGGGGCGATTGTGCTAGGAGAGGGGATTGGAGGGATATGTGCTAGCAGAGAGGATTAGCGGGGAGATTTGTGCTAGAAGGGCGGATGAGGTTGATTGCGCTAGGAGAGGGGATTGGAGGGAATTGTGCTAGGAGGTAAGATTGGGGGGATTTGTGCTAGTAAGAGGTGATGGAATTTGGGTTAAGAGGGGGGACTGGGGGGGGGGGGGGATTTGGAGATTTGTGCTTGGATGGGAAATTTGAAACGAAGGTGGATGTGTGCATGGAGGGATTATTTTTTGGGCGAGGGAGATTTGTGCTAGGATGAGGGAATTGGGGGCACTGGAAGCGGAATTGGGGGGCAAAGATTTGTGCTGGGAAAGGGGTCTATACTGGGAGGAGGGGGAATTTTTGCATTGTTGTGTGGGGAGAATTTTGGTTTGCAGACACAAGTTATGCTTGGGGGGAGCATGCTGATTCATTTCTCTTTTCTTTTTTGGGGGGGGGGATTTATGCTGAGACATGATGCTCACACATGGGGGGGGCTTAGTTTGTCATCTTCACCCTGGGAGCTAGTCGACCTTGTCCTGGCACTACACACAGGGCAGTCAATAGATCTCCTCCTCCCCACTCATCACATTGCTGAAATCGGATTCCCTTACAGACACAGCCTCGATCTGCATGTATAGCTGGCTGCTATGTTGCAGTTCTGACCCTGTCCTCCTCTTCTGACCCCTCTCTCCTCTTCTGACCCCTGTCCTCTACCCTGCTTCCTCTGTCCTGCTGACTCTTTTTCCTGCCCTGTCTTTGCCCAGATAACGTCTACTGACCTCACATCCTCTGCCTGCTGACCCCTATCCTGTGCCCTACTGAACCTCTGTATACTGCCTCACTGACTCTTGTACACTCCCCTGCTTATCTCCCATCCAGAGGAGTCCCTAGGGTTGGTGTCATCCGGTGCGGTAACACTTGGTGACACCCCCTCCGACAATCCCCGCAGAATGGATCGGATCTGCAGATTGAGCATAATGGACTCTGAATGCACTCCCCGCACTTAAAAGTATAAAAGAATGTCCTCCTGCGCTCCACAGAGTACCTAATGCTAATGCCAGCTGCTAACACCTATTCCCTATACCACAGGACAATGAAATATATAACACAATTGGATGAAGCGCTCAAGTAATATCACTCAAGGCAATTCAAAGTGACAAGTGCTCAAATACATATATAAATAAATATATCATAAATACATACATGTGAGAAAACAAACTCCTGGTCTGCCCCCCAGTGGCTAACCAGATAAATAATAAGTGATACCACTCCAAACAATTCAAAGTGACAAGTGCTCAAATATATATTTAAAATATATATAAAAATTGAGTGGTATCCCTCTAGGGCAGGGGTGGGCAAACTTTTTGACTTGAGGGCCGCAATGGGTTCATAAATTGGACTAGCTGCTGGCCGGCCCAGCCACTACCATGCCATCCATAGTAAGTATAGTAATATTCCCCCATAGTAAGCATAGTAATTAATCCCCCATATAGTAATTCATCCCCCATATAGTAATTCATCCCCCATAGTAATTCATCCCCCATAGTAATTCATCCCCCATAGTAATTCATCCCCCATATAGTAATTCATCCCCCATATAGTAATTCATCCCCCATATAGTAATTAATCCCCCATATAGTAATTAATCCCCCATATAGTAATTCATCCCCCATATAGTAATTCATCCCCCATATAGTAATTTATCCCCCATAGTAATCCCCCATAGTAATCTTATCCCCCATAGTAATTCATCCCCCATATAGTAATTCATCCCCCATAGTAATTCATCCCCCATATGTTAGCACTTTTTGTTAATTTTTTGTAGCGGTTCAAGCAGTCCCTGACAGCCAGGCGCTCTTTTTTCCCGTTTAAAGTACCTATAAATTTAGTGGCCAAAATGTCCAACCAAAGATACTCTAGTGAAGAGGCCTACATTATTCTGAGCATGTCAGGTGAGAGCAAAAGGGGAAGACTCACTGTCAGAATCCGCCTCAGTATATAAACCTGTAGACAGCAGCGGCACCCTGACAGTTAGCCCAGACGACGGAGAAGAGAGGTCCCTGCTAAGATCAGGCGTACCTGACCCCATTTCCAGGTTGCTGAGGTGGTTCAAACACATGACTCTCATATGCAGTAGTACTAGTGCCGCGCTACCTTTTGGTGAACTGGCGAGCACCAGCGGCCTAGTACGTCCTGGTCTTATACATACCAGCACTGCAGTATCACTTGGTGACGTAGCGAGTCTCATTAGTGCAGTACAAGCTGGTGTGGTGGCGAGCACAAATAGTGTCCCACAGCCACCAAGAATTCGCACACAGGCCCATAGAGCCCCTAGTATCCTTCTGGGTGTGCTTGCAAATCCCAATTGGCAGCCCACAAATTCTGCAGCAGCCGTACTTCCCCATTCACTGCCCAACCCCCGAATTCAGGTGGAAACAGCTAATTTAAATACCCCTTGATTTTTTTGGAGCTGTTTTTCACAGATGATCTTTATGCATTGATTGTGGATCAAAGCAATTTATATGTACGACAATTTATCGCCGCCAACCCAAATTCAAACCTTGCCAGACCATTCATATGGAAACCCATTTACAGTTTCCAAATTTAAAGTTTTTTTGGGCCTAACCCTCAACATGGGCATTTACTAAAAAAAATGAATTGCGGTTGTATTGGTCCACAAGACCCAATTCATCATATGTCCGTGTTCTCTGCTGCCATGGCCAGGCATAGATATGAGACAATATTGTGTTTTATGCACTTCAACGACAACACACTCAGTCGTCCTCGGGGTGACCCTGAATTTGACCGGCTCCACAAAATTCGGCCCCTCGTAAATCACTTTAACCAAAACATTTGCAGATGTGTATACTCCCCAGCAAAACATATGCATCAATGAGTCCCTCATTAATTTTTCTGGCTTCCTGGCATTCAAACAGTTTATCCCCAGCAAGCGTGCCAGATATGGGGTCATGGTGTATAAGACCTGTGAGAGGGCAACAGGCTATACATATAAGTTTTGGATTTATGAGGGAAAAGATAGTCATGTGGAGCCCCCCGGATGCCCAGACTACATGGGGAGCAGTGGCAAGATAGTTTGGGACTTGGCGTCGTCCTTTTTCCATATGGGGTACCACTTATACGTGGACAATTTTTTATTCACGCGTGCCACTATTTAGACATTTGTACAATCTTGGAATTGGTGCATGTGGCACTGTGTGACCTAATTGCCGGGGCTTCCCCCTACGGCTTGTAAATACCCATCTTAGAAAGGGGGAAAAAGCCTGCTTGAGAAACGAAGAATTGCTCGCAGTGAAGTGGAAGGACAATCGGGATGTTTTCTTCCTGTCTTCCATTCACGCAGATACGACCATCCAAATTGCCACGGCAGCTGGTGTTGTTGAGAAGCCCCTCTGTGTTCACGATTATAACCTTAACATGGGAGGGGTGGACTTCAACGACCATATGATGAAGCTGTACTTAGCCCTCTGAAAAGCCAGACGCTGGCACAAAAAAGTGTCTGTTTATTTATTTCAATTGGTTTTTTATATAAAGCTTTTGTTCTTTACAAAGCAACTGGACATAGTGGGTCCTTCCTAA